AGTGAGAAAGAAGACAAGGACTGTTCAGCTTGAATAAAACACAGTCAGGAGAGGAGTTCACCTGGGATTCCTCTACGTGAGGAGCAACCGCCCATGTGGACCTTGACCAACACCGACCTTGTGCGTGATGTGGGAACGCCGAGAGCATCACGGCAGGAGCAGCCTCCTCCGCCAGCACGCGGACCACACAGCCCCGTCCAGAAACTGCACCAGCTCCATCCCAACAGACCAGTAGTTTCTAGCTCGTCCTGTCTTATCGGACGCCTCATCAAAAGCTCCCTGCTTTGCTCCATAGAAACTTTCTCGCTCCACCTAGATTTACTCCTGGCCAACTTAGAACCATTTGTTGTTAGGTCAACACTATTGTTTAGCTTAACTAGCTCTCGTTCCTACATTGCCCCTTTATTCCAACTACCTGCAAGCACTAAGTGTTTTTCTGAAATCAAGAGATGCATCTCTGGCTCTTAGCCAAGGGGAGAGAAATCAGGATTCAGGGTGGCCAAGCAGATGCTACCGAGAGACCCGTTTTATAATCAAGCTAAGCACCTCAAAAGCTCTCTGTGCTCCCAAAGGGATGGCAAGTTCTGCTGCAAGCAAATTTGTGCCGTGTGCTTTTCCTATCCTGTAACTGCCACTTAGAAGGTACAGCGATGTTTGTGACACATGGAGATAAATGGCTTTGCTGTCTCCAGTTATTTTAATTAAAAAGAGAAGGCCTTTGAAGGCATCAGAATTGTTAAAAAGTAAAAATCCTCAAAATACTTTCTAAATGTAGGTACGGATTTCAGGGCTTTCAGGTATTTTAGCTGAAGGTTTTTGGCCCTGGCGAACAGCACCTGGGGCAGCGGCAGCTTCCTAGGGCTGTCGAGGGTCACGGTCACCTCGCTATCCAGGCGTTAAAGCTGGAGCCTTTATGGCACTTAACACAGCTCTGCTGCTTTCTATACCCACACAAACAGTGTGCTCCCTCTCAAAGCTCTTCCTTCTAAAGGAATTCCTTCTAATTCTTCACAGCAAGGTCAGCTCCATCAAAAGCCAGCGTACAGCATCTTGGCCAGGTTATTTGGACTCATGCAGAGGCAGAGGAGACGCGGAGCACGATGAATATGGCAGAGGTTGCCGCAGCTTTGTAGCTCGTTTATTATCTGCCCCATCAAGGAAATCGGACCCTTGCTGAGTTTCACATATGAAATTCCAGAAGATCGGGGTCTTTGCAGAAGTTACAAGATGATTTAAAGCACAGCCCTAAGTGGGAAGTGGTCGTCGTAACTGAAATATCTAACGGTGTAAAGCTTCCCTTCAGCTAGACCATGAATGATACCTTCATATCACTGCACAGGGACACCAGGTCCAGACCTGGCGTGTTCGCTGCTGTGTGCGAGACAGGCCACGAGCGCGATGGGGAGCTCCCTTCTGCCATGCACAGCCCCAAAGCGCCATCGGAAGCCCTGAAGAAGGGGCTCAAAAGCTGGATGAACCGCAGCAGTGCAATCTCTGCTGCACAGGCAGAGGGAAGGCTGGGCACTCACAGAAGAAAAACACGGCTAATGCTACCTCCTCTGCACCACACGCTTGGCAGGGCTGCGCGTTTAGGCCCCGTGCCAGGCAAACACGGCTCTTCTGCCTCCGCGCCCCGGCCGAGCTGCCTCGCTGGGGGTTTGCAGCGAGGAAACAGCCTCGCTGTGCCACGCGCGCGCTCGGTGCAGGGGTCCCCGCGCTCCATCTGCAAAGCACACATGTCCCCCGGCTTCGGGGAAGCTGCCTGGGCAGGCACCCCTTGTTGGCTGGCACAGGGACCAGGCTTGCTGGGGCAGACACACATGCCCTGGGCTGTGTCTTTAACAGCACGACCATCTCTGCAGGGCCCTTTCCCTTATGCTGGGGATGGTTCCTGCAACGGCGGTTCTCACTCTGGCAGCGTTTGAGCTGTAAACCCCAAATGGGCATCACAGAATCACAGACTGGCTGAGGTTGGAAGGGCCCTCTAGAGATCACCTAGCCCAACCCCCCTGCTCTAGCAGGGACACCTAGAGCAGTGGCACAGGGTGGCATCCAGGCGGGTTTGGAAGATGTCCAGAGAAGGAGACTCCACAACCTCTCTGTGCAGCCTATTCCAGTGCTCTGTCACCCTCACAGTAAAGAAGTTCTTCCTCACATGGAGATTAAACTTCCAATGGTTCAACTAGCATGTACCTATGGTGGGCTCGGACAGCTGCTTTGGGTTCTCCCACTGCTTTGTTGCAGAAGTTGAGATCCAGCTTTGCTTGCCCATCTCGAGGAGCCGCGGATTAAATTGGGGGCGTCCGCTAGGGAGCCTGGCCAGGGCTTCGGGGCTCCTTGAGATAAACCGCGGGTTTGTTATCTACATCCCCTCGCGAGCAGCTGAGCAACGGCAGGGATCAAACGATGGAGGGGAGCCCCAGGACGAGGCATTCCCCGCTTTCGGCACCAGGATGATCCCTGCCATCTCCGGAGCCCCAGCGCCGGGATGCGCCCACCTCCACGCAGCAGGGTCCTGCCAACGGGACAATCTCTGCCCCAGGGTGATTTTCAGTTTGCCCATGAGGACCTTTGTACCTCCGCCGCAGATTTGTGTTTGCTCTCCATGCCGTGCCCTCTGGCACACAGGCACCAAGGTGTCCCTGCTCAGAAAAGTGTCCCAGCATTTCCATGGAGCTTCTGCGGCTGTCGC